TGCGTGTCCCAGCCCACGTTCCACATCTCCAGCCGACATTTAGACATCTGTAACATGTTGCCAAGAAAACGGCAGAGACTTGCCCGGGCAGTCCCCACGAGTGAACACCAACTTGGAGGCACAGCATTCATTCATTAATGAATGTGTTTTTGGCAGCTGACATCTTACTTTCCCACAATATTTGGCCTTCCCTCCCTATCAGTTTTCCCAATGGTTTTCCAACAGAGGTGTCTGCAGGAGCATAAAAAAAAATTCAAGATGGTGGCCACAACCACGGGATCAAAGCCCCACACTTTTTTACATGCATCACAGACATCTCTGTTTTCCAGGAAAGCGAATCATCCCGAATGGATAAAACCATGCGCTACCAGATGAACAGAAGGCTGAGAAAGAGGAATGGGAGGAAAATACTCTTACCTAAACATTCATTGGCCTCCCTGGCTGTGGCCCTCTGCCAAGGACGATCATAATGGAAAGGTTTGCAGCGGTCACACTCCGGCCCTTCGGTGTTGTGCTTGCAGTCGCACACCAGCTTGCCCTCCTTGTCCTTCACACAGCGTGAGGCATGTCCATTGCATTTGCAGCGTCCTCCAACCTGGAATTCCCCCACTGCATAGTAATACGAAGATGAGCTTCCCCCACCATCCTCATCCTCATGGTCCCGACCCCCTAGTTCCCGGAAATGATGAGGACGGCTGAAAATGACTCGAATATCAGTGGCTGTCACCCAGTCCTGAAGAACAGGGCTGTTGTCAAAATCTTGCGCTGAAGGACGCCCGTCCAGAGTGCTGAAGGCGATAAGTCCTCCGGTCAACGGGTAGAGGTCAGTATGGCCATCCGTACACAGCGCCTCCTGTTCATTCTGTTTGGTCACTGTGGCCTTGTTGGGCTTCCCATAGATCTTCCGGCATTGGGAGGAATAGTATTGATAAGGCACCCAGCTTTTGCCATAATCCATGGACTTGAAAACAGCAGCTGATTCTGGACGGGGCGAGCAGAACTGTAGGCTGACGTAGATGACCTCGAACTTCTTGGCCAGGGAGAGCGTGAGGCTGACGTTCTGGGGTGAGTGGTGCAAAGTCTCTGAACGCCAGCAAGTCATATTGGCCGCGGTGTTGAGGTCAGTGAGATAGGATGCTGGGTGAGCTCTGCGGGGGTCTGAAGAATCACAGTGGCGGGTGGCTGGCTTCCCGCACGTGCTGGAGGCCTGAACGTCCTTTCCAAAGGCGGCGTTGACAAACTCTGGGATGCAACGGCGGGGCGCCCCTTTCTCGTCGTAGCAAGGATCCGGTGGAATCTGCTGCATGGCAAAGGGGTTAACGCCCTGGGAGAAGTCAAGCCTACAGAGAGTCAGGAGCAAGCACATACCAGCTAAGGAGTCCATCCTGCCCCACGGTCTTCTGAAGTCACCGAAAACAGCTTCTCTCTAAAGGGAAAGCAAAGGGAGTGTTGGAAACAGAGTCAGTTCTCCGGGGCTGGCGAGAGGGGGAGAGGGAGGTGCCCAGGGGACGTGAGAAGGCTGGATTGAGGAGAGGAGTGTGGACTCAAGGAAGATAAAGCTAAACACTTGCAAATGTTTGAAATGAAAGATGGTGGAGGAAGAGGTCACCTGCGACGGCAAGGCTGAGAGCAAAAAGCCATGGAATGAACTTCACTCTGTGGAATCAGCATTTGAAAAAAAAGTAGTAGATAAGAGCAATGCCACTGGATTTGGCCTCAAGGAATTATTTTCTGCATTTGCCCTAGTCAGAGGTGCCCTCTGCTCCCTTTGCTATCCAGAGACCAAGGTCTTCTTCCTTTATATCTCCCCTCCTTTCTTTTTCTGGGGGGAGGGGCTCTTTCCTTTCCTTCCCGGCCCTCCTGCTTTCAGTTCTACCCAAACTTCAGATGCGTCCTTCTCTTCTCAGGGATAGTATGTTCCTGCCACATGCCGGGTGAAAATTCAAAGGTTTAATTAGCTCCTAATGCGCTCGGTGGGAAAGCTGGTAGCTTGGAAATCTTGCCTCCTACATCAAAGGCCGAGGGGGAAGGTGTGAACCCAGCAGGACTGAGCCAACCCCACTGGGCCACCATTGTCTCAAAGGACCAGGGCTTGTTCCCACCCATTGCAAAGCCAGGGCAAGAGTTTAAGCTCTGAAAGGGATGTTAATCAAGCAATTTCCCGCCTGGCTGCCTCTCCCGCCGGGTTTCTTGGAAGTGCTTGTCCTTTAGCGGAGGAGCCAGCAAGAATTACAAATGCAAGAGGAGGATGACAGGAGAAGGCCTGGAAGCTGAAGCGGAGAAGGTTTGCAGCTATGGTGCTCTGGTTTGTAGTCTGGGGCAGGCAGCAATTCTGGCCTTAGGCTCATAAAAGGAAATAAATTGAAGGAAGAACTAGCAGGCTTTTTGCCATAAAAATAAAAAAGTGTAAAATAAAATATAAAATAAATGGGACGCTGTTAGGAAATGTGTGCCCAACCCACCCGTCATCTCAAACATATTAGCCTAGCTAGCCCACCAAGTTATTGATGGGTCTGAGTCATTCCAGGAGAAAGCAAGGAATCGGTTGCAAATAAATATGATTCTGCCTACCTTTTCTCAGTCCCATTACTTTATTTGCAAGGAGGCATTTTGCCCCAAACTATTCCAATAGAAGTGCTCTGAAAGGATTTGGGACCAACACCCCCAATTTGACAGAGCGAGTGTTTCTCATCTTGGTTTTCGTGCAACCTCCCCTCCCGTTTGGACTGTCCCTGAATATTTTAAAAATATTTTATCTGCTCCACACCAGACATTTTTCTTCTGGGCCTGAGTCAATGCAATACCCATTCAGGTGACAATCGGCAGATATATTGGCCTCTCTGATTGCACTTGTGTATGCTCAGATACGGAGGTCGAACCCATATCACAGACATTACTAAAACACCCACTTCATACACAGTGATAATGGACCTTATACTACCTGTTGTTAGAAAACTTGGTTCCTTTTATGACCATGAGGTGGCCATTCTCCTTCTTTGAGACCAATTTTTGGATGCCTCTATGAAGGTCGCCAAATTTTTATCAATAGCTATGCTTAGAGAAACTGTCTTCATAACTCTTTGTGTTATGAATTGTTTCAGCCCTAACTTACACATGTGTAAAATATAAATATGTGTTTTATCTGCTGTATTTGCTGTATTTTTCATGATTGGTCTTGGATCATAGATAAATAAAGGTCCAACTTCTTCACAATGCTCCAAAGAGCCTCCTGATTGACCCAGTTTCTGAATTCTGCCACAAAATTGAACAACAACCTTTGAAAAATTTCCTTTCTGGCCTCCGCTGCCCAAATCAAGAGTAGGGGTGTCTTGTGTTAAACAGCTTCCCCACATCAAGATGTTTGCATTAAGTCATCAACACTGGTTTTTGAAGGGTTGCTTTACCTAAATCAGCTTGTGCCAATCAAAATCCAGTGTGCGCTTCCCTTTGATCTCATGGCTTCTCTTCATTGTGCCTGTAGGGCTACCATACCTGGGCTGCAAAATGCTACCTGACCACTAGAGGGCAGCAAAGGGACATAGAGAATGCCGCCCTCTAGAGGTTTTCCTGAGTGTTGCAGCCCAGGAAGGATAGCTCTTTATCTGAGAACATGTGACTATACATATGACTGGACCACAGGATGACTGGACCGCACTCATACACATTTATTATTTATACAATTATTATTAGGACTTCTTTATTATATTTCTATGAATTTTATCTCTACTCTAAACTGCCCAGAGTCATTTCAATGAGATAGGCAGTGACAAATTTGATAAATAAAATAAGAATAAATAAATAAATAAAATACCCAAATCTCATAGGGTTAACGCTTCATACATCTGATGGGCCCTGGTCATAACATCTATGGCCATCTTACAGTTGCATCTATACCATGAAGCTTCAAGTTCAAAGTAACCAGCAAACTGGTTACGAGAGGAGAAAGGTTAGATAACAGGATATTCCACAGCTCCTGGCAAGAAAGGTGAGACAGTGGTCTGATAAATCAGTACAAATTAATTGCACAGAATCTGCCGAATTACCAGCATGAGACAGACCTTCAACCCTTGTATTTCCAAAAAGAAATTGTCGGTCTCTTGGAGGGCTCTTTTTCTCCATGGCAAAAGCATTGATGATTTGGGAAATGCTCCTCTTCTCCATCAAGGACATAGGGAGGGAAGAAGATCAGAGGAATCTGGTTGCATCTTTTCCAACTAACACATTTTATTCAAAGGCATACATTCATGAAAACGGATGCCTTTGAATAAAATGTGTCAGAAAAGGGGCTCTCAGGTTACTTCTGATTTTTTGCCACCATAGACTACACAGCTCTCCTCCAATAGGACAGGAAGACAAGGCCATTGATTAGCAGAACAGCCAGGACTCTCCCTTTAACGTTGAGTAGTAATGCTCCATGGGAAGAAAAAGCTACAGAGACCTTAACTTGTTCCCCACCACCACTCTTGAATTTGCTTCATTAGCCAGGAACAAATGGGGGCTTATCAGTAGGGCAACTGGTTAATATAAAACCAGAATTTAATAGTCTTATGCTCCCACCTCAGCAGCCATAGACTTTATCTGGAATTAAGCATCACTCTGGATTTGAGCAACAAGCTATGGGCTAAAATATGGTTGGGTAGTTTATGGGTCAAGCAGAAGCATCTCCAGGGTGGTGGTGTCAAAAAATGTCAAGGTGGCAGCTTTGATCACATAGTCATCATCACCATCTGGACTTTTTGGACCTCCCTGTTCTGCTTTGCTTCTCTAACTAGCAACTTCCTTCTCTCCTTGGGATCAACCTGCAGCCTGTATCTTAGCATGTGGTGCGAACCAGCAGCAGGTCACGCTACAGCACGGTCAGTTCAAACAGGCCTAATTTATTACCCTACCGTAGCCCTTGTATTTTGTTAACACAGGGTTACCATGTTGTCAGAACCCAACAGGCATCCCTGCTAAGCACAGGCCAGTGGAAATTTTGGATGATGCCCATCATATATAGCAGTGTGGCAGCTTTCAGGGGATTCTAAGAGCTGTAGTCCAACATATCCAGAACGCAGTGCAGTGATATTGAGGATTAATGATCTAAGCACTTTAATCTGAGATCAAGTCATGTCTGTCTTTCTCCTTCCTTCCTTCCTTCCTTCCTTCCTTCCTTCCTTCCTTCCTTCCTTCCTTCCTTCCTTCCTTCCTTCCTTCCCCCTCCCTTCCTTCCTTCCTTCCTCCCTCCCCCCTCCCTCCTTCCCTTCCTCCCTCCTTCCTCCCTCCTTCCTTTCTTCCTTCCCTCCCTCCCCTTC